CCCTTTCCCCACTGTTCCTGGCCCCCGGAACCCTGCTGTGCCTCCTAAATGGCCTCCTAGCCACCATACCAGGCACTGTTCCAGGCACTTCACATATATTAACTCATTTACTTCCATTATACAGATGAGGAAACTGAGACACCAAGACATTAAGGTACCTATTGAAGGCCACAGGTTGGCAAGTTACAAGGGCAAAGCTGGGATTTCACATCAGGCACAAGTCTGGCTCCCTAGCCCCTCAAAATGGCTCACGGGCCCCTGCTGGGACTGTGGGACCTGGCCATTCCAGTACACTTTCAGGACCCATGTCTCTGGGAACCCTCAGATGGCTTCCCACTTCCCTGGACCTGAGATCTGGTTCATCTCAGCCCCTCTCCCCCTGACTCCTCACCCGCTGGCCCCACCCAGCTCTCAGGTCATGCTCTCTCCCACCTCCCAGCCTCACCTCTGCCATCCCCTCTAATTGGCAGGCCTTAGTTTTGCATTTCCTCAGAATCTTCTGGTCCCTCCCTACATGGCAGCTAACCAGAGAAGCCTTCTCTAACCAGGGTGGGAGATCTTCCCTCACAGTTATTCTCTAGCACAGACCCCGTCCATCACCTCCTCGGACATCTCAAACAACCTGTAAATACCTGCTGGCGGTCCTCCCATCCCCACCCCCCAGCAAAGCGGAAGCACCACTGAGCGGAAACCAAGTCTGCTGCTAGTTCCCTATCACCTCCCAGCTCCCAGCACTGTGTCTGGCATACAGCAGGTGCTCAACACGTAGCTGAATGAGCCACGGGTTTTACGGAATGGTTCTCACGAGTGGATTTAGAAAATCCAAATACAAGATGAGGTGTGGGAAGCATGTGGTGTGGGGACAACACGCACCTGCCAGGTGCGCACGTGAAGAGGCTGGGAAGGGATTCAGAAGTTTCCTGAGCATGCCCGATATCTACTTAGGATATTTAGATAATGGGGGGATTTCTCCCGGCTGTGATTGGCCATATTTTCTAGAAACAGGCAAGACTCCTTCCAGAAGGCTCTGACGCCAGTGCTGGCAGGAACCTGGGTTCTTCTCACAGCCTTGTCCTCGGGGCACGCCCGGGGACTGCTGGCCAGTAGGCCCGGGAGGGAACACACAGGAGTGCCCTACCTGGATGGGGAGCACCTTCCTTCATCTGGGCCCAAGCAGCCCCATGCTGTCAGGAAATGCTCCCAAACATTGTTAAGAGCGGAAAACGCCCACCCCCGGAGCCCAGCAGTTCAGGTTGGACACACTGATCTGGCAGCCGCATGGGGGCATCGGCCGGCTCTCACCCCCGAGCACCTGCTATGCGCCAAGCGATCACCAACGTGATCTCGTCTGATTTTCAGTGGCTCTCTCCGCCCGCCTTTGAGAACCATTTTAAAGGGCAGGCCACTGAGCCTCAGGGACATGAAGGCCCCAAGCTGGGTCACAAGGCCGACGACCTCCAACTACACGAAGGGCGGCCAAGGTGGATGTCAGTGTGGCTGGCCAGCTCTCCCTCCTGCTCCAGCTCCACCTAGAGCCTCAGTGGGGCCGGGGAAGTGCACGATCCAAAACGGCAGGGGCCTATTCAGTGACAAAGAGCACCCTCAGGTCCTTCTCTGTGAAAGAAGTATTTAAAGATGCAGTGACAAGATGTCTTCCACTGGCTTTCCTACACTCGAGGAGGGCCGAGGTGGGGAGGTACTCTGAAAAGAGAGATGGCGGAGCAGATGGAAATAGACGTAGAGCAAGACTAATAACCCTCGAAGCTGAAGGCGGGGTACGTGGAGATTCACGGCGCCATTCTCTCTAAAAGTCTCATCTATTTTATCCCGTCAAGCTAGCCTTCTCTCCCCATCCCCCTTCCCTCACGACTGCCAGGCCCTGACATGGGCCCCACACCATGCTCCTCTCCAGCGAAAGCAAAACAGGCTCGAGCAGTCAGCTCTGCCTCCTTTAGGGGTGGGGGACGATGGCCTCCAGCACGCTCCTGGTCCGGGGCCACCCTGTCCGAGCACACTAGGCACACCTGCCCAGAGGCCCGCGGCTGGTGAGCAGACACGTGACGTGGCTTCTGTGTACTCTTATGCTGTGGTTTCTTATCAGAGGGCGACAAGCTCAGTAAACACACTTCAGGTCACCTCTTCTGGCGGTGCAGAGCCGGCGTGACTTTGAGCCTGTCCGCCCAGATCACATCACCTGCCATAAAGCTGACCAGCTCCCAGCATTTCTCCCTGAGTCAGCTTTCTTCAAATCTCGGCGCTCACGAGAAGCATGCCCAGCTTCCAATCATTCGGCAAATATGAATGCCTTTGCCTACATTACGATGTTGCTGGTTATATTATATACTTAGAGGGTATTTTGTGACATGCGAGGCATACCGATTTTTCCTCACTGGAAGGTCAGACGCTCCCGCATTTAACAACAATCACTGGGAGAGATACAAAGGAAAAAGAACACAAAATCCAATGACAAACACATGCTATCTTATTCTAGTACCATGTGCTCATAAAATCCATAATTCCTAGTACTTTCTGGATGGCACTCTCTTAAGCAAAGACATAATTTGTGACCAGGCTGGGTAAAGACAGACAGCCATTACTTTCTTAATGGCCAACTACCCAAAAAGGCTCAGTTAAGTGATCTCAACTAGCAATCTAATCAATTAAAATTGATAAGTGAAATACTTTTAACCTTTATTTCAGCAGGCTATTCCTGGGGGGGTGGTGCAGAGAAGGAAGGAATGTGAATTCCCAGCATAAAATTTAATTCCACTTCATGGATACAAATATTCTTGCTACCCTGATGGAGAGGTCCCTTTGAAAGAAAGCTGTTTCCCTCCTCCCTTGACTCAAATCAGAGAAAGACTGGTTTATGGTTCTCCGCAGCCAACTCAATCAATTTAAACCCTTAGAGAAATCCTTATGGCAATTTCTCAAGGAGGAAAGGACCAAAGGAGATAAGCACGGATAGCACAAAGTGGGGGACATAGCTTCTTTGTTCTTCCAAGAGAAAAGAAGAAAAGAGAATAAGGAGAGGGCAAGAAGAAGTTAGGGGCACCTGGGAGGCTCAGTTGGTTAAGCGTCCAACTCTTGGTTTTCGCTCAGGTCATGATCTCAGGGTCATGAGATCAAGCCCCGAGTTGGGCTCTGAGCTCAGCAGGGTGTTTGCTTGAGACTCTCTTTCTCTCTCTCTGCCCACGTCTCTGCCCATGTCTCTCAACTAAATAAATAATTCTTAAAAAAGAAAAAAAAAAGTTAGACAAGAGGGTAAAACCCATAATAATTACAGGGAATCTTCTATTTGGGGAGAGTGCTCTCTTCTTTCTATGCATCACGTTTAATTAGCAGGTAACACAGCCTACGGTTTCTTGAGTACAGTCAGATGCTAGACACTATGCTCTGTCATATAATATTTCATATTATATTCCGCTCAAGTCTCAAAACAAGCCTATCATATAAGGAAATTCATCACCATTTTCCAGGTGAGGAAATGGAAGTTGTAGGGGTTTTGATCATTCGTTGTGAATACACAGCAGGGTATGGGGGTCACATGCCAACCCTCAGTGGTCTATATCATGATTGCTGGTCGCACAACTGAACACTTTTGTCCAAACTCATCCAACGGTACACTAAAACTTGGTTGAATTTTGTCGGATGTAAACTGTATTGTATTTCACTAAAGCTGAGTTAAAGCCGTGGGGACCCGGTCCTTACCATTCACCACAAAGAGTGGCCATCCACCGCTTCTGCCTGCTCAGCTTCCATCTCTTTGTGCGTTTCCTTTGAGGGCAACCTTCCTCCTCCCTCTCACATGAAGAGGGCCCCACTTCTCAAGAAATGGGCCCCACTTCCCAGCTTGGGGTTCTCCACATGACCCTGGCCTTGCCCAGTGATGAATCACATTCCTCTGACAACGACTGGTTCAGGGATGGCCCACCGACCCATGCCAGGCCAGAGAGCCCTGCTGCGGACTTCCACAGAAGTTACAGGAAAAGGAAGCTCTGTTTCTGTCAGGTCTGCTTAGCTGGTTCAGCAGGATTTGGAACTCAGATGGCTACCTTGTTGCCACCTGGTGAGAGCCCTCCCAAAGATGAAGCCAGAACAAAGGGAAACCGAAATGAGACAGGGAGGCAGCTTCCTGATGATGCTGCTTGAGCACCTAGATCCAGCAATGCCTGAAGGCAGACATACTCTAGGACTTTTCAGTGACACCAGCCAGTTCCCCTTTCTTTTTCTCTAAGCTCACCCAAGTTGGGATTTCTGTCCCTTATAACCAAAGAATCCTACCATATCACAATGCCTCTAAGAAAGAGAAAACCACCTTGACCATCCACGTGCACCTGCCCTACAGCAAATGGAGGAAAGCAAGAGTGGTATGTGTATGAGGCAGATTACAGGGCTTTAAAAGTGACCGGGCTTTAGGCCCACTGGCACTTTTAATCACAGCCTCATGCTCACACTGCTGCGGAGAGCATGGCGCACTGTGTGGTTAGGGACGGAGCCCATAGCTGCAGGCTGAGCACACACTTCTCCAGCCTCCCCATCTCCGCCTCACCTCCAGGCTGGTGATTTGCACTTCTACAAGTTTACCCCTTTTCCGCAGCAGAGGCCTTGCATCACTGGAGACAGAGACCCCCTTACTACACAAACCAATCATGATCCGGTTACATGGAGGGCAGGGACGACTCCAGACAGAGACCCCCTTACTACACAAACCAATCATGATCCGGTTACATGGAGGGCAGGGACGACTCCCCCTGACCCCGCACAGCTCCACCTGGGCTCCGATAAGCAGAGCCTGCAGATGGACTGCCAGGGGCCCAGCAACAAGGGCCCTTTCTTTGAGTCTGGCAGGACGGGCACACTCTGTTAGCTTTTGGTGACAGATAACGGTGGAAGCAAACGCAGGTCACACCCCAACCTTCCCCGTGACACCGGAGCCAGTGCAGCAGCGAGCGCAGCCCTCCCTGCCCCCGTCCCTCCATCCCCTGCGCGGGACTCACTCAGATCCAGCACGTCATCCGTTTTGATCAGGTCTTCCTCCCGCGTCAGGGGCAACTGGGTCTCGGGCTCCCCTCGCAGCTGCAGCGACAGGGAGCGGAGCATGAAGAACACCCGAATGGCCTGCGTGGACAGTTCAGGAGCAGAGGAGAACGAAACTGTAGTTATTCAGGGGAAGCACTCCGTGTGCAGAAATCACACAGGGACTCTTGATTTAAACAAACAGAACCAAACAGAGTCTACTCGTCCCAGTATCATGGCCCTGGTGTTGTCGCAGCAAGATAAATAAACAAATAAATAATCGAAGGGTACAGGCAGTTTTTAGTTCTGCATAGGTTTGGGCCACTTGACTTCAGCTGAGCACCTGTCCTTCTGCCAGGAGCTCTCCCCTAGTGCCATGTGACCTTCACGACGTCCCTGCTTAGCAGGCAGCCCCATTTTGCGGACAATGCACTGGGAGCCCAGGAGGCACAGTGAACTGCCCCAGGCCACACGTCTGGGGGGACTAGAACCAGGCCTCTTTCTTCCAAGTAAACCGGCACAGAATATGGAAATCCAAATCACAAGTACTAGTGTTCCGATGTCCTACCTAGTGAATACGGGGGCAGGGAAGGCCGAAGAGGGTAAGATGGTCGTACGATTCAGAGCCAGCCAGACTCCATGAAAATCCTACCCCTGCCCCTCCCTGAGTGAGTGCGTTTGCAGCACAGTCTTAGCCCCTGGGCCTTACCACAGTGGTTAGGCTGTGGATGGGACAGCAGCCCTGGCGCCTGGCCGGTGTGCCGTGACTTCAGTGCTCCAAGTGCCCCTCAGACTTCCCCAGCCAGCTCTCTGGAGGCAGAGTCTGCTCCGTCAGCACGGGGATTCCCGGCCCGTGGAAGAGATGCCTGGGTGGCATCCAGTATGGCCATTAGGCATTCCCAGAGAGCAGGAAAAAAGCAGAATTCCCAGGCCCAGACCCAAAGAAGTTGGTGTAGAAAGCAGCTTTTACCCCGGACCCAGCATGCCCTGAGAGCATCCCACCCCAGGTCCTAGACTGGACCTGAGTTACCCACCAACGACAGGCCGGGAAGCGGAGATATAGCCCATCAGAGAGGCCACCTCCATGCCACTTGCCCTGCCACACAGCTGATGGGCCTAGCTTCGGCATGCGCCTGAGGGAAGCAGCCCAGGAGTCGGCCATGTGAGCTCTGTGTTGGACTTGCTGGGCAAGGCCCCTGACCTCCGTGAGCTTCGATTTCCACATCTGTGAAATGGGGGCGGCAGTCCCCGCCCCGCAGGGCTGCTAGGAGACTCTGAGAAAATGCCGGGGGGAAGTGGGGAGCCCCCGGTATGTGGGCAACCATCCTTTCCTCCAGCCACCCGCTAGCTGGGCATGGGGGAGGGCATGGGGACAAACCACTGTCGCCACTGGTGAGCCACACAACGATGACTTCCAGCCCACTTCTGGTCTTCCTGTTTATAGTTCCGAGGCTACAGGCCTGGCACACGGAGAGGGGAGGCTGCCCTTCCTAGGACAAGGTGCCTCCCAAAACAAAGCGGGGGACAGGGCTTGCACAGGCTCCTGCTGACCCAGGCAACAAGGATGCCCACCAGGAAATTTAAACCCGAATCCAGTCTTGGCCTGGAACTGGCAGGAGACCTGAGCCAATGCCTCCCTCTCCTAATGGAGAAAACTGGAAGAACACGAATTCTACCTCCTAGATGTATCCTGAGGCCACGTGTTCCTCTCAGTCCACCAGAAGCACTAGGGAAAGATAAGCCTTTGTAGTATAATGATGTGGGGGGCGGAGGGGTGGGGGGATTAGCACTGATCTAATTGTCCTTAGTTTTTTACAGTACAGCCTTCCTAAGACATCTGCAACAATCAAAAGAAAAAGAAGTGCCGTTTCATTTTTTAAAAAATCGAAACAGCTTCTGATTATTATGCACCCAGAGTGTGCCAGGCACTGGGAGCACCTTACTGCAAGAGGGAACTGCTACGTGGTAAGAAACAGAGCCAGGAGGGGCAGAGCCATCCAAGTCCACGTGGCTGGGGCTGCCTTAGCTGGGCTTGGAAGCAGCGGTATCTGATGCACGTGCCCCTTAACTAAGCACACAAGGACACCCCCATGCCTGCACCAGCCTGACTGCAGAAAGCCCGAGATGTGGGGGGCCGCTTGAACTATATGGCCATCTGAGCTCTCAAGGAAGAAGTCATGGCCTTGGATGCGAGGAGAAAGGCCCATCGGTCAGGTCCAAGCAGAGGGAATACTTCATTTCAGTGTCAAAAATCCATTCCTCTCAAAGGTTCTGAAGGCAAGGAAATCAAGCAGGACCCTTGCTGGGGGGTGAGAAAAGAGAAACACATGTGGCTTTCAGCAGACCATCACTCTGAGAACCAGAAACCTCCACTAGGAAAGGAGTTCGGGGGTGCCTGGGTGGCTCAGTGGGTTAAGCCTCTGCCTTCGGCTCAGGTCATGGTCTCAGGGTCCTGGGATGGAGCCCCACATTGGGCTCTTTGCTCAGCAGGGAGCCTGCTTCCCCCTCTCTCTCTGCCTACTCTCTGTTGAATAAATTTTAAAAATCTTAAAAAAAAAAGAAAAAGAAAAAGAAAAGGAGTTCAGAATTTGGCTCCTAATTTAGACCTTTTTGGTAAAACATAGCTTTTGTTCTGGAAGCAACACATGGAAGATATCTATAGAAATACAAAATAATAATAATAATAATAATAATACAACAATAAAAATCTGAAGAATATGGAAGACACTGACCAGCCCCACAACTTTGAGAATTCACAAAAGAGAGATAAAACACCAGGATGATGGTCCTCAAATCCATCGCACAGCCCCCTAAACCATAAGCACCCCATCCCTGCCTACCCAAGGCCTGCCAGGGATTGGCAGGGCTGGACCATGTCATCTCCCTAACGCGTTTTAATGATCCTCTGTGGTTCCCATTTTACAGACTGGAAACCAAAACCTGGGGATGTAAGGCAGCCTGCCCACGGTGACTCAGCTAATAACCAGACTCCAAAGTCTGTTCTTCCAGCCATATGCCTTTGCCTTCAAAAGATTTAAGGCTTGGGACCCAGGCTTTTATTGAGCGCTGCTCTTTACTCTGCCAAATAAACATGCACTTTAAAAAGTATTAAAATGGAAGAAGGAATTATTGCTCTTTCTGATGCTTCCCCACAATGCCAGGAAGATGGACTCTGGATGCGCACATTAGTTTTGGAAAGGGGTGACAGCTGAGCGTGCTCGGATATAATCAAAAGGCTCATCCCCTGTGCTCCAAGGTACCTGGGAGCAAGTCCTGCAGCTGCATGGTGGGGAAGGAGCCCCCTAGGTGGGGGGGATGGCCTCAGGGTCAGACAGACCATGCGAGTAAATCACGTGAATTCCCTGCACCCGGGCTTGAGTTCTGGGAATGGGGTACCCACCGGCCCTGATCTCAGGGCCTCCCCGGAGGTGCGCCCACAGAACCCTGGGGCAGCCCTGGATTGAGCACTCAGTCCCATTTGCAAGCCACGGAGTTCGGGCGGCTGTCACCTGGATGAGGAGCCCACCAGGCCACGAAAGTGGCTATGAGAAACCAGTCACTCCTAAGTGGGTGCCGAAGCAGGGTCACCTGGGCCCAGCCTGCTGTGAAAACCCCTTTGGCAATATGGAGAGCGTCACACAGAAAATGTTCGTGCCCCCGAACCAGAAACTCTACTTCTGGGAACTTTTCCGAAAGAATTAAGCCAAAAGAAAGAAACCCTGTATTTGTGAAGCCTGCTCAGGACAGTTTAGTTGAAAATAACGAACACTGAGGGCACCAGAATGTCTAGCAGCAGGAAAATGCCTGAGCAAGTCACGGCAGAAGTCGCCAGATAAACTTTCTTACAGTAAGAAATGTGACTTGAATTAAAACTGCGTCCCAGCATGGAAAGCTTCTCGCTGTACAAGGGAGAGAGGAAAGGAAAGGCTGGAAGGAAGACCACAACACACTCTTCCTGCCACCATGAGAAGGCGTGATTGAGCAAAGACAGGGAGGAGACCCGAAAAGCGACGAGGCCTTGTTTGTTTAGGGTGATGAAATCACGGGAAATTCTTTCCTTCTACTTTCGAAACCCTACGAGATGTTCTTTAATGTGAAACACACAGCCAAAGAATAAAGAAAAAGATCCTATTTCCTCGCGGGCAAGAGCGATCAACACCAAAACTGTTGGTGGTTTTACATGAGAACAAGGAACAGAAGTCAGGGACAGATAAAGCTTCACGTGTCTCTATTTCAGAATGGCTTCCAAGATTACCACAGAAAGATGGCCGGTGGCTTACATTCAGATTTTGAGATTCACCAGAAATTCCTCTCGCTAACTCTTCTCTACCCTGGAACTTCAGTAGATGGCTAAAAACTCTCTTTCTTTCCCTCCTGGGATATTAGACCACTCTACCCCTGTTTAACCAACGTTTCCTGAGCTCTTCCTGCCTGCTGGGCACCTTACAGCCCTCTTTCTTGTCTACTTTGGGCAGGAGCTAAGAGACTAGACACATGAGGACCTGAGGCTCAGGGAAGGTAAGCAACTTGCTCCAAGGCACATAGCTAGAGCTGGCACTGAACCTTGGCTGGTCCCACCAGCCTGGGCTCTTTCTTAACTGCTTCTCTCAGCTGCCCCTGGGATAGGTCGAGCCACATCCCCATTTCTGCTTCCATGTTCTCATCAGATCCCAGCAGTTCCCATGACCTTCGTTTCAATGTGAACTCCCCTTAGCAGCTGGCATGGCTCAGTGGCCTTATTTTATTTTATATTATTTGTTCACAGTCTATTCTTGCATTCTGCACAGTGCCTGGCTCCTAGGAAGTCACTCAACAAATACATCAAATAAAAGAAGGAAGAGAATAAATTGCAAAATGCGAGAGGGATGTCATGACTTTTGGTGTCAGTTGCCTCCCTGTGGCCTGCAAAGCCTGACCATCCTCCTCTCCTGTCCCCTCCACTCACTTGTCACCCTGCTCCTTGAACTTGCTACATTCTTCTGCATCTCAGGGACTCTGCACTCACTGACCCCTCGGCCCTGTTCATTTCTGCACCCTCAGGCCCAGCATCTGGCATCCAGTAGGCATCCAGGGGCTCTCTGGTGATTGAATGGAGGACTATTTTACAAGTTAGGAATGATGCATTAGTAAGGGGTGTTTGAACTTCTTTAATAAGCCCTTAAAGGAAATAAAAGGTGGGATTTCTGAAAAGTGTCAGCCTCCTGAAAGTTAAAAAAGTCTGCTTGGTGGGGGGAAAAAAAAGAAAAAGAAAACCTTTGAATCCAAAAAGATGAAATGGAATGTTCTTTGGATGAAAGCAAAGAACTTGAAACAAACCACATAAGCCCTCAATTGCCTGCTAAACCATACACTTCCTTTAGCTCAAATTCAAAGCACACTGCTGTGTCCTGTGTCTGAAAGGGACACAGGAGCTAAGCTTCTGGATGATTCTAGACAGCTGCCTCGGAACAGGAACTGGACTGAGGTGAGTGGCCGAAATCTTCCTTCAGAAGCAAAGGGAAGCTTCTCTCAGGTAGATGGCTTCACCTTGAGATGGTCAGGGCCGTTTTATAAATCCTGCCACCTTCTCCCCGGCTCTAAACCCAGGGACCCTGAGACTTGAGGGTTGATTGTATAAACTCGTCGGACAAACAAAGGCTGAACAAGAGACCCCAGGGAAGTCCAGGCATTCCCAAGGGCTCTCGGTCTGTGTTTCAGGTAGAGAGGTGGGCGGCACAGCCCTGGGAACTTACAACCAAGTGAGATGTCAGGGGCAAAGGGACGAAGGGAACCCCTACCCTCGAGAGCTACTACTGGCTTTCTGTGCCCTGCCTTTCACTGAGTCTCCACAGTGACTCTGGCAAGGCAGGTACGTGCTGCTTTGAGATGGGAAAAGGAGTCCCGGAGCCCAAGCGACCCTCCCTCTGCCATATGCCTTAGCCTTGAATTTTTCTCATCCTCTCCTGTGGATCAGGACTGTCTACCCCAAGCCAGCAGGACCTGATGTCGGGATCAGCTAACAAGACCAAGGTCCTCCATGGGCTCTAAGGCCCCGGAGACGGGCCCCCTCCAGCCTCATCACTTCTCAAAAAGCCTCCCTCACTCTGGGCTCCAACCATGTCCCCTCCCTAGGGGTGCCAGAATGAGCCACATCCGTCTGGACCTTTGCCTCCCCTGCTGCCCAACCGATCCCTCTGCTGCCCGTTCTGCCTCCCTCCCCAGGGAGGATGAGGGGCTTGACCTCATGTTCCTTTAGCAACAGCCTCAGCCACACAGACTGGCAACACTCCCCTCCCTCCCTTGCCCTGCACACGGACTCCTTGAGGACTGAGGCAGTGTATGTTATGTCCCTGGTGTCCAGCACCAAGTAGGGCTAATAAATACAATGAAGGGAGCAGTGGGAAGAAGCAGGTCAGAGCGGCTAAGAGTGTGGGCTCTGGAGGCCACGCTGCCTGCACGGAGTCCGGGCTCTGCTACTTATTAGCTGGGGGACCGTGAGCAAATCACTTGATCTCATCATGCCTCAGTTTCTTCCTCTGCAAGATGGGTTCCTATGATGCCAACTTCCTAGGACGGTGGTAGAATTCCATGAGGAGGGTCAGACAAAGAACTGGTATGAACGACACACGTGATATCAAACACGAGCTCATCTAAGTGTTGAGCAACTGGGGCCCCGGGGACCATAAAAGAAGGCAGAGTGCAACCCAGAACAGCAGCTCTCACCATCCACAGCCTCCCGGACCTCTGGCTCAGGGGACAAGGTGGGCCTCGGGGACAGAACCTTTGTGCTAGCCTCGCCAGGGAACACCTCCTAGGCCAACCAAAGGGTGAGCACACCCGCCTGTGAACAAGTTGCCAACATAACCTGCGTTTGTCAGAACCGGTCCTAGGGTGCTGGCTGACGCCGTGATGTCCAGTGCAAACAGTGCTACCCACAAACACGCTCGTGGGCTCGGCCACGGGGCCTGCAGGGCTGCCTGGGAGCCTGAGGAAGGAGGGTGCCACTGACTCAGACGGGGTGGGTCCTGCCATGAGGTCTGTGGCTTTGGTCAGACAGCAGGGAATGTTCAGTGACTAAAACACACAGGTCGGCTTTCCTCTGCAGTCTCCTCCTGCCCAGGCCTCCGAGGCAAAATCACCACCCAGGTGGAGGAAGACCACGGAATCCTCCTGTTAGAGGCCAATCCAGCAGGTCCCTCCTGCTTCTCAACATCCCCAAATTAACACCTCGGCCGCTCTGGTCAGATGGGGATTAGCTGAGCAGCAGAGGGCAAGGAACTCATCTAATGCATCCATTCATGTCTCCAGGGAATGATTTTCTAGGAAGAGGTGATGGTGCTTTCTAAGAAAGAAACTGATCTTATGCCAGAGATAAAATACCGTGAACGGCCAGCTTCAGAAAAATGGCGCTGATAAGGGACGTGCACTCCCGCAGAGTTCTGAGAACTCCTCTGCTTTGCACACACGGGAGCGGGCTGGCGAGAGTCACGGTCTCATGGGCCTGTGCCTCGCCTCCAGATCCCTCAGATACCTTACCATGGTGCTGTGGCGCTGTCTCCGTGGGTCCCGAGCCCCTCTGGGAGGGAATTTCACACCAAGGCCTCCCCTGCCCTTGCCTGTTCCAGGCTCAGAGGCGGGCCCCCAGAGTTGGGGGCTGGGGCCCTGCTCTGCACCAGCCAAGGCAGCCTGCCTGGCCCTCACACAGGGGAATCTCAATCCTGCTTCGGCCAAGGGCAGCTCGCCTTGGGAAGTTCCTCCCAGTGGCAGGACGCCGGTTCGGGGTGGTGTTGTCCGCCCCTGGCCCAAAGTGGGTTGAAAGACAGGCTCTTGACTTGGTCAGATGGCAGCCCAGGAGAGGTGGGTCCCGCCTGCGCTTACTCACCCGCCGGGTCTTCTCCACGTCGCCACACGGCAGCCGCTTCACAAAGTCGATGCCAGTCAGTGGCGTGCCCGTGGGGGGCAGGAGGATGGAGGCGTCCATCATGAGATACTCCACGTTCATGGGCTTCATCTAGAGGAGAGACATCAAGGGAAACTTCACCAAAGGGAGGAAGAGGACAGGGCAGGTCACCCAGGCCCCACGCCTGCACCCGCGCATGGCAAGTGAGTAAAGTGAGCCCACAAGAAGGCTGGCGTGAGGTCGCAAGGCAGCCCAGAGCGTGAGACATAAGCCTTTGTTTCCCAAGACACGGATTTTTTCCTTCCCTTGAGTGGCAGCTCAGACATTCCTGAGAAGCTGTCTTGGCGCTGTGAAAAGCTGTGGTCTCCCACCGGCTCATTCCCCCACACCCGGCCAGGAGCGGAGCCCTGACCGCAACCCGCCTCCCTCTCTTTGTGCTGTCAAGGATGACGAAAGCAGACGTAGTGATGGCAGCCCCCAGTTATCGTGGACTACGGACTGCGGGCAGGCAGCGAACTGCAGGCTTTGCCTGCATGATCGTACTTAATCCACCCAAGGACTCCACAAGGGATGTTTCCCTATCTGCTCATGGGAAAACACAGACTCAGCTGGTGGGCGGCAGAACTAAGACGCAGACCCAGGTCTGCCCTGCTCCATACCCGACTCCTGCCACATGACCACCGTCCCCCTTCCCTGCCTTGCCGTCTTTACCCGAGATCACACAAAGAAGCCACTTACTGAGCATCTACTAAGTGCCAGGTGCCAGCAGGGCTCACCTCCTACTGGACAGCGCTGCTTGCTGATGCTGTTCCTTATTACCGAGGGGGACAGTGAGCTCAGAGGAAGGGTGTGGGCCCACAGCCTCTGGGCCACATGGGAACAGAACTGTCTGCCTGCTTCCACACCACCTCCAGGAAGCCTTCTCTGATTACTGTGATATTTGGTAGCAACATCTCCCCTTCTGGAACTCTGCTGCCTCAATACAGAGAGTGAATATCCACGAGTTTTGGGACATGGACACCTCATTTCCCTGACATCATAAAGGAATGACATTTCCCAAGGTAAATTTCCTATAGAACTTTACTCCTTTAAGCATTCCATGCTTTTTTGTGTGTCTTTTTGAGTTTTGTTTTTTGTTTTGTTTTTCAGAAAGTGGGCTTCAATTGTTATCACACCCTCTGCCCCTTCTGGAACATACAGCTGACTGACTACCCAGGACAGCTGTGATGAGGGCCCAGCCGTCTGGGCTAGGGAGCCAAGGAGACACTTAGTGCACACTGCCTGCCTTTTTCTTTTGGCCTCTGTAAGCAGATCTCCGGCAAGGCCTCGGGTCCCCTATCCCAAATCCCTTTATCTTAGGTCTGGGTGGTGGAGCCCTGAGCTGCCTTGGGGGCCACCCCTGGCATCACCTTCCGGCAGTGCCTTCCAGCCTGCCCGCCGCTCCCTAGCAGCCCCCCCACAACCTGGAAGCCGCCTATGGCGGGAGGGAGAGGAAGCCGATATGAGTGGTGTGCACTCTCTCCAGGGGGCATCTCCTAGGCACTTGAGCCCAGGCGCGTGGTGCGGGACCCATCTCACAGCCCGGAAAAATGAACGCCGAGAACGTAAGCAACCCACGGAAGGTTACGCAGTTAGTAAGTAACAACAGCAGAGGGGCGCCTGGGTGGCTCAGTCAGTTAAGTGTCAGACTCTTTCTTGGTTTGGGCTCAGATTGTGATCTTACGGTTGTGGGATCCAGCCCTGGGTCAGAGTCGGCTTGAGACTCTCTCCCTCTCCCTTTGCCCCTCCCGCTGCTTGCACACCGAGTGTACACTCTCTCGCTCTCAAATAGATCCATTCGAAAAAAAGGCAGAAACTGAGCAGGGGTTTAGGAGCCTGAGCTTTTCCACACCGTCAAGTGACACACGAGCCTTATGTTTCCAACAGGAAACCGAACTATGGAGAACAGCGCTGCAGAACACGACGCCCCAGGGACAAGCACCACAGCAGTTAATCCCCGAATCCACTCCCCTCTAGCTACCGGTCCAAAGAGTAGAAGACGGACACACTCTCCTAGGGGCTGGGGGAATAATGGGGAGCAGTGGCCATCTCCAGGTGGGAGGCACGCCTGAGCGGCCCGTACACCACCAGAGCAGGCCTCCGGCACTACTGCGATATTTCTGGAGATGACCTATGCCAACTGACGTCTTCCCTGGAACAGGCTCTGCAGAGGCCTCGGAAGTGCCGAGGGCGAGGACGTGGTAAGGGCCCAGCAGTCCACACCCGGCGAGATGAGCTTGGGAGCCGGGAGCCACTTAGAGCAAGTGCTTTTGTCTTCGTGACACTTGGGTTTACTGCAAACTTCTTGAATCACTCCCCTCTTTGATGAGCAATGTCCATGAGAAGGACATTTATCCTCTATTTACTGAGTGCAAACTAAGGGTCAGATGACAGAGATGCACGGAAATGAACAAAACGGAGAAAGCTGTCACCTTCGGAACTGATCCTTTCCCATGACTGTGCCTGATGGATGGAGGAGATAGGGCTGACGCTGAGCTGGTGCCGTGGACTCAAGGACAAGCAACACGCTAGAACATTCTGGAGGCACAGCAAAGGGCACTGGAGGCGAACTGCTGGGCTTTGGAATCCTGACTCTGCACCTCACTGGCTGGGCAGATGTGGGGCCTCACTCAACCTCTCTGATTCTTGCCTCCTGATCGGGGCGACAGGAGCAGTAAAAGAATGAACACATCCAATGTGCTCTACACTCCTGATTCGTATCAAAGGGAATCTTCCCGACCCATCTCTGGCACAGCCCACAGAGGGGGAGTGGGGGACCATGTGAAATTTCACCAGTGGTGGGGATCAAAAGGCACCGCTTCTGATTCACCTCCCCACCAATCTCGGCCAGAAAGGTCCCAGTTAGACAGTGTTCTCCCAGTTCCACAGGACGAGCGCGTGGGCCCCCACCTGCGTCCCAGTCCCTCACTTACTGTCATGCTCCTGTACTCATCTTCAAACATGTCCAAGAAAATTTCTTCTCCCTAAAAAGAGAGGAAGGGAGAGAGATGATGCATATTTCTTTCCATAAACACCAAAGTATTACAAACTCTAGCTCATGGCTGTTGGGACCATCTGCTTCTCATTAGTGAGTTCTCGTGAATCGCCAGAAGGACGACACACACACGAACATGAACACACGCTCAAACGAAAGCCCAAATATCATATGGCACCTCTCAACATTTCTCTCTTTTCTTTTTCAAGCATGTAGGGTTAGATTCCTTCTGTCAAGGCAGCGAATTAAAACAACAAAAAGAACACCATACGTAATGAAACTACAAAAGTGGGTGAAATTACGAGTGTTTCTCCATCATCTGCGTGTTGAGAACGGGTGGAGAAATGAGAAGCCTGGTTCAGGGGCCACGTTAGATCCGTGGGGCTCCCATCTCAGAAAGGCAGCATGTAACGAAGCATACTTAACACTACAAGTACACAGCTCATCCTGGTCGTTTCTGAGGCACACCCGTGAGGCCCCACGGCTCCGCAGGGCTGCAGAGGGTAAGACTCTGACTCGGAGACTTGCAAACCAGGGGCCCAGTCACAGCTCTTCCTCTCAGAGTCTCCCTCTGGTTCGCTGTAAGACTGGAATGACAGCCCACATCTATGCGGGTCACTGCGAGGATGTGAGGGTTAGCCCGAGTAAAGTGCTGGCCACAGAGCCTGCCACTCGGTCGCGGCTGGTAAATGCTAGCACTCGTGGTCACTATGGTCACCCCTGGATGGAGCACAGCCCAGGAAGGGGAGGGAGTGGAGATGCAGTTGAAGGCACCATGGCTATTCAAACTGTCCTCTCTCCTGAGTCCTGAATCTCATTCTCTCTCTCTCTCTCTCTCTCACATACACATGCACACGGTCAGGATGGGAAAAGGAGCAATCCTTTATATATTTTTTCCAATTGTCAGAACTACAGATAAACTTCAATATTCTTGCATGGCAATAAGAACCATGTAAGAACCACAGAGATTGCAGCGCTGAGAAGATGCAAAAGCTTCTGAGATATTCTACTTCGGGTATAACCCTTATAGGACAAAAGAAAAACCTGGGTAGGGGGAAGGGAGCTACAATTCAAATACAGCTCTCCTTAGGCTAAAGATAAATCCCCCGGGAAAATGCCTACCTATGTATCTCTGTCTTTCTGGGGGTAGAGTGAACAAACTAAGAGCGGTTATCCTGGAAAGAGACTGAAGGATGACTAATGCAGCCGTGAGGCTCTCCCGCTGTCTTCTGGGCTTTGCTGAGGTCTTGTATTCTCGCTCAGAGGCCAAGCCCCTCAGGATGCTAACGGGAGCCAAGGATCTCTTCCCCCATGTGTGGGGTCCCACAGTGGTCCCCCCTCATCTGGGCGTGGCCACCACATGGCAGGTGCATGGGGTCATCTGCGGCTGGCGAGGTGGATTTCCAGGTTATAAGACCTCATTTTCTCCCCACGAACACTGACAATAATAGCAGCTTAAAAAGCTTCCTGCAAAAAAGAAGGGTCTGGTGCATCTGTGCCTATGATTCATGGCAGTTTGTAGAGATAATGAAAGGGGCTGGATGATAACAAGATGGCAGCGCCAACGCCCGTCCGCCTCCAGGGAGGTTCTCGGCGTCAGCAAAATGACAAGGGGAAACCCCGGCTAACTGGACCTGGAGAGACCAGACACAGAGTCAAAATCTCAGGGAGCCACGGGGCCCAGGCGAATGTGGATTAACCCATCTCCTGCTGACAGATGATGCGCTTCCCTAAGAGTATATCACGCTTCAGGTATAGAGCAAAACAAAACCATCACAGCCAGAGGTTTCAAAACTAACCATCTGGAATCTGAAGAGGACATCGGCAAATTCCTCGGTGACTCAGAGTCATGAAGATTTAGAAGCCTGTATGAGGCGTCCTGGCATAAGTGTCTGTAAGCGACACACACGCGTAGAATTCACGATGCGTGAGTAACTCAAAAGTTATTTTATATGAAAAACACGGATACCTCAGAACATATCGATTTACATAAGTAATTTACCCCCGTGCATGCATGTAATTTGCAATTTAAGTATAGACTCATCAATAACCGATTTCACGTATCATTGGGTAAGCAAACTACCACAGACTAGGGGTGAGTGCTCAGAACGGGTTCTGCAAAGACAAGCACAGGCCGAAGAGTGCAGGGCCTGCTGCTCGGGGGTCGGACCCGGCGTGTGCCCACTCAGTGTGCATGGGTACAAGAAGGCACCACAAACTTGTGATCGGTATGTGCGCACGCCTAGATACGACAATCCTGTGTCTGGGACACACACCAAGCTGCCCTCCCCTGCACCTTGGCCACTTACCTTATAAAAATGCCGAACTAGGTGAACGCTTTCTTCTCGGGCACCCTGTTGAGAGAGGGAAGGCATGAGGGAGGCCACTGAGTTGGGTAAGTCACCAATTCCAGAATCTGAGTGCATGTCAAGCAGATGGGGGGGTGGGGCTCATATCCTTCAATCTATAAAGTGGTTTGTAACACAGAGGGAGGGAGGGAGGGAAGGAGGAGGGGCTCAAAATAAAAATGGGCAAAGGAGAGGAGACCCTGGGGGGTGACATGAAAAGTTATTAAGATCCAGTTAGGTGGGGGAAGTGGGTTGTAAACTAGGGGCCATGGTGACTCTTACAATGCGTCAGTGCGTGCGTATCTGGAAAGACACACCAAAGTGTCCACGATAGCTGTTCCTTTCTACCTTTGTACTCGCTAAATAAACACGAGATATAAATATATAAATATAATATATAAATCCCTCTCAAATAAACCTGAAAAATAAGAGGGAAGACAATAAAAACTAAAAATGAGTGTAGATATTTGCACAGTAAACCATTAATACGTAAAAAGCATGCACGTGTTCGGATATGTATAAGATTTTTCTAATGCACAAAGAAAAATAATAAAATTCTGCTTAACAAATACAGGGCCACTAATTGTCACAGAAATTACAGAAATTCCATAGTGAAGAGGGCTCCTTAAGCCAGTCTCCGAGGAAGGGTTGCTCCACTGGAATGACTGGGTTGCTGCAGACCCCAGGACCGAGGCTCCCATCTAGATCTAGCATGTTCCTTCCCACGGCCGCACGCGGAACCTGGGCAAAAGGACGGGGCCCTCACCTCTAGGCAGGCCAGGTGCACGTCCTTTATGATGCAGCCCGTGCTGGTCACCACTTGCTGCTTTAAGAGCAGGCAGCTCAGCTCCAGAGTCGCCAATCGGATCTTCCCATCTACAGGGGGAAGGCAGGGTCAGCCTCGCACAGCCTGATGGGAAGCCGTGAAACAGTGTCTTGCTTTGCCCACTTTGAGCTTAAGAGGTCAGCTGATGGCCCCTCGACATCCAGCGGGGACACAGAGGGAACTCACACGCCAACCCCTTCCCAATTACAATAGAATCTTCCATCCATACCGCCCACCCCGAATATTTCCCTGCACTCCCTTTATCAGGGGAGGGGAGGCAGGAAGAGGAGGATTACTAATTATTCCTGAAGGCTGGGAAAGTGGCCATCTGCGGTGGCGTTCCTTGGCCGGGTTCCCCCCCTTTTCAGGAACAAGCATCCCTCTTTCCTTTGGAGACTCACCGACCCCACTTTGGGTGGAGCCGGTCCCTTTGCTCTGCCCCAAGGAGGGGCCCATCACCCAGGCTGGTCAGCGTGCTCTATTCCTCCGGTCACAGTGACTGGGGAGGAGACAGACAAAGGGGCCAGTCAGAACCAAGAAGGCTCAATTCCACAAGGCTCCAGGACCCCTGAGCAAAAGCAACTCTCCTTCTGCTGGGCTGAGGGCAGGACAAGAATAGTGCCGGGGCCGTGAGCGGGCCTCAGGGCCACCAGCCCGTTAACCCGCATAAGCCACCTCTGCACCCTTGCCTGCGTTTCCCACCTTTCATCCAAGCCCACCCTTCCCACCGGACCACCCAGAATCTGCCTCCTGCGGTGAGGCCCGCACCCCAGTAGGGAAAGGGATGGCTGGGGCTGCTGCTGGCCATCATCCTGCCGACACACAAAGCGGGACAGCCCAAAAATAGTCCCAAAAGCATTGTTCCAGCTTCTGAGTCCAGCTGTGCCTGAAGCCAGGCTCCAACAGACTCCCAAGTTGCACAAGTCGGAAGTTTGGTTGCATTGTTTCAGCCCGTCTGCGTCGGGTTTCTGTCGCCGGCAACCACGCTCTGACTAACCCACCTGCCGTGCTACTGTGAGCTGGGCACGGTGCTGGGCACGTCGAAGACCCTCCCTCCAGGAGTCTCCGAGAAAACCCACTACAATGGGTGCTCTAAAGGCTAAAGTTCGGGCAGGGGAAGTGACGTGTCCAAAGTCTCACCCTGGGTGGTGAATGGCATTCAGGGGCTCTGAATGCCAAGACCCACATTAGGCATTGCTCCTAGAAGCATCTGGGGCTGCCTGACAGGTGGGCAACCTGCTCTTAGGCAAACTCCTCCCTGGGTCTTCGAGTGCACCGCTGGGGAGATGTCTCAATGTGGAAGAGGAAGACATCTCCAGGCCACACTCCTGAGGTCCTGGAAACCCCAGCGATCAGGATGGGCTACAGGGAAACACTCAAGGCAGATGTACCACCGCACGCCTCCCTCCCCACCCTTCCCTGCTTATTAGTGTGTCAGGTGGGGAGCAGGAGAAAGGGGATCACTTGCAGGGAAAGGCTGCTTGGTCTCAGCCACGGAGCTAAGCCCCCTCCGCCCAGCATGAACAATGCTTCTGTGCTGCACCTACCCGCCTCCCACCTGCAGCTCTCTGGGGCACAATCTCACTCCTGCTTGCCCCTCCGCAGAACCCCACTGGCCCAGCCATGAGCCCCCTGCTGCTGCCTCCAGGGAAGGGGAGTGTGATCTTCCAACAAGACCTTCCTTCCTTTGCAAGCTCCTGCCAGGTGCTGACATCTCCCACTAGCCCCCTCAAGGGGCTGGCTGTCCCTCCCCACACTGGAGGCTCCTCTCTAACATTCAGGCCACGCAGTGCCTTTCCTCACCACTGGGCCACACGTCCTCAAATAGCCCTCAGCCACCATCCTCAGGGATAAGCTCTGCTCCCTGCGCTAGACCTCTCAGTAGAAAACTGACCCCACCAGGTGCCCTTGGTTCTGAGCACACCTGTCTCTCTTGCTGCCCTTTCTTCCTCCATGTGGGACCTGGCTCAGTCTCCTGCGCTGGCTCCCCCTTCCATGCCACCTGAAGACACTTGCAGTGGCCCAGAGTTTGGTCCCAGAAGTCCTCTCTTCTCTGCTGTGGCTTCTAGAACCACCCATATGTCTGTGAGTCCCACAGTGTGAGCTCTGGCCCTGGCCCGTGTGAGCTCTGGCCCTGGCCCCCGTGAGCTCTGGAGTCTATCTCCACATGGAGTCCCAGACCCCTGGGACTTCACACACCCCCAGCTGCAACTCCTGGAAGGCAGGAGCCACAACTGTCCTGCACCTCCCCGTACCCTGGTCATTTGCCCACAGTGGCTGGCAGGCAGGAGGCACTCAATAAACATTGTCCATGGAGCCTGTTCCCCAAGCCTCTGTACTCTCCCCCCAAAGTCCCACTGGGCTTCCGGCTGCCTGGCGAAGCCCACTCCTTGTGACTTCTGAAATCGTGGCCTGCAACCAAAACTGCCACCCCTGCCCTTCTCCTGAGACTGACCTGAGCCCAACCCCACACGGTTCCTACTGTACAACTCAGTGGTTCTTTCTCAACTAGGCCACGTCTCCATCCGGCCCCTTTCTATACTCTCGCTCACACCATGATGGCCTCTCTTGCTGCCTCTACAAAGAACTGGCCTTGCCGTCAGGGTCTTTCAAGCTCAGCATAGCTGACGTTTGGGTCAGGTGATCCTCTGTCACCGGAGGCCGTCCTGTGCGCTAAGGATGTTCAGTGGCATCCCTGGTCCCGAGATGCCAGGAGCACCCCCTCCTCAAGCTGCGACAACCAAAAATGTCTCCAGATGTTGCCAACTGTCCCCCCAGGGTCGGGGGGGCAAAGTTGTCCCCAATGAAGAAACACCGTACCGGCTCATTTCATCTGTTTCTAGCCCTTGTCCCGGCTGTAGATCCTCTGCCCAAACCTCAGAACTGGGCTGACAAGTGTTCGACACTGGGCATGTCTTGTACTATCGAGAGCACCTGATTCAAACCTTCCAGCCTTCCCTCACACACGCTCTCAGCCTAGTTCATGCTCAGATGTGGCCTCAGCCACCACGAGAGGAAGGCTGGGGGCACTGGCGCCGCTGGTCCAAGAAGGGCTAGGTGTGGAAGGAGACGAAGGACAGGGTCCTGCACATACACCACGGCGAGGGAAAGAGGAGGAGACCCTGAGGTCAAGACGTGGCTGGACAGGACGGTATGGGTTGGCCCAGGGTAGGCACGGCCCAGGGAGTGGCTGAGACCAGCCTGTATTCCCAAAAGGCTGGGTCTAGAAGCTAGGACTCCTGGTGCATGGTCCGGGGGCCTGGTCCCTCTCCCTCCACTGCCCCGTGAGCAGCCACGCCCCAGGCACCTGGCTGGGCCGCGTTGTTCATGATCCTGATGAGTCTCTCGGCCAGGAGATGGTTGTAGGTGGTCTTCTCTGCCGCACCGGGCACCGGGAGCTGGATTTGCTCGAGTTTTTCAGGATCCATGCCTGGAATGCAGAAAGGGACAGGCTGTCAGTGGAGTCCCCTCATCAAGGACGCTGCTCATCCCGAAAGCCGAGGTCTGGCTCCGGCATCTCCTCCATGACCGGCGCGGCCCGAACCCCTGCTTACGGCAGACTTCCCCACGAGCGGAACTTAAACCCACATACTGAAACGTGCATTTTCTGTCACTGTTTGTCAATGGGGACTCAGCACTGCTGCAACACTGTACTAAAGAAAAAGATGTTTTAGCCAAAGACTTGACTCACTGGCTACTACTCGTCGTGGTCCGAGACCATCTTTGTGACAATGGGAGGATTGGTGTGTACTTGAGAGGTGGGGAAGACGTGCCAGCTCCAAATGGTGACAAGTTCCTGGACACAATCGGGGGGCTCAGAACAGGGACGCCAAAGGAGTAACTTCGGCACGGTGTGCTGCCCGGCTATCCCAGGCCAGCTCTGCATGCCACCAGAGGCCCACCCCCCGGACTGGACGCATTCCACGGTGGGGGGAGCGCAGACTGAGAAGAACAGACCGGATGGGAAGGAAATTACAGTCATGCCCAACAGTTGCACCTCAAGGTCGTGGCAGCCGACTCGGGGAGCCGCGCCCGCCGCTCGAGGAACACAGGGGCAGGGGCAGGTGCCACACTGGGGAAGGGGCAGCGCTGGCAAAAAGCCATCAGGCTACATCCTGCAACAGAAAGGAGCAAATACAAAGACGCCGATAGTGCGGGTCTCTCTTAAAGAAGCAAAGGAATCATTTTTCTGCCAGGAAAGGCGAAGGGCCTTTCGAAGACAAAAGCCGAGACGGGGGAGGGGCGGCCGGGCAGAAGAGAACGGGAGCGCACACACGTGTGACTGGGAACTCAGGGTCGGCTCCCCTAAAGCGGAACCTGGGGGCCGGGGTAGCAGGAGGACCTATGCAGGCTACCTCGGCAGGCTGGGTGTGGGGTGAGGGTTCCCCCAAACCCTTATCTCTCTCTTCTAAAGTGGCTCTGGAAAAAATACGCTCCCAGAAACAAACATTTCACTTGATCCAAGGCTGGAGAGCTGAATGGATTGTTTGTGCTGAAAGCACGTCTTTTCCTGTTATTCTACCAAAGGGGGGAAGGTGGCACTTCTCGGAACTCTTGAAATACGGCCCCTTGAGTACTAGATGACGATTCATTTAGAACCTTGACAAAACAGTGGAGGAGAGCATTGAAGGGCTTACTGTCTGGATCCTAAGTGACTCCTACACACACACACATTGACGTCATAAACCATAACAATATATCTTGCTTTATTGAATTCCTTCCAGCTCCGAACCAAAGGCTGAGCCATGCCAAGGAGATGACACGGGTGAGGGACGGCCTGAGGGCTCAAGCTGGGGAGCTCTCGCACGTGCCTCTCCAGCGTGGCTTCATCAAAAAATCTGATTGCAGCGAAAATTTAATTTGTGGATTCTATATCCCATTTTGATGCTCCATGTCCTGCTCTGAAGCATCCTGGTTTATTAAATGGCAAGAAGAACACCCAAGTGAATCTTTTTGGCGGCTGTGTCTTTTCCCAGAGATGTCAACACCAGCCTCACATCCCGTTTCTGGCCCTTTGGGAGCTGTGAGTCGGAGGTTCTGTAGAAAGACTGCTCCTCGGCAGGACCATCTCTCATCCCCCCTCAATGAGGCCAGTGGGAGGGGCCCAGCTGCTGGCTCCCTCAGGAATGCGGCGGTGGTCAGCACGACCGGGACACACCGAGACATGAACCACGTCTTCAATTTCCACATTTTGTCCCTTTCCTAGGACAGCCCTGGCTTCCAGAGACTTTGTCAAAAATGAGGAAATCTGTGGCAAAATCTCTCAACAGGAAGAAAAACACTCCAAGGTTATCTTGACCTTCGACTAGTGGCTCCACTCTCTGTGAACAGGGGGACCCCGAGGGACAGAAACACTTCCTTGAAGAACTTCACAGAACTGGATTCCAGTGCAACCTCCTCCTCTAGTTAGAAATTAGGGCCCAGAGATGCTAAGTCACATCTGCAAGGTCACAGAGCAAGTTGGCAGCAGAGTTAGAAGGATTCCAAAGGTGGACAGGACCCAGCTAACTTCCAAGTGTTCTGCTGTTTGGGGGCTGACTCAGGGATGAGCTGCTCGGGTAGGAGTCTAAGGATGGGTGAGAATTTGCCTCGAGCTGCCCAAGCCGCTCCTGCAAGGAGTGTGGTAGAGTTTAGGGAGTGTGGGGGATGGGGCGCTCTGGAAGGAAGCCATGAGGCAGACGTTGGGGGAAAGGGACGGGCAAGGCTTACCTGCCAAGATCCCCAGAGGGCAGTCAGCAGGAGATGACATGATCTGGTTGTGCTCATGCCTACTCTGGAATGGTCTCCATTGCCCCCCAACCACTCAAGGTGATCTCTCTCCCCAAAACCAACTTGGTATTGCAACGCATTCTACGTGAAGTGGATTTGACCACCGGCCACTAGGGAGACAGAGAACAGGGTAGACTCCATACAACACATGGAAAAACTTTGTTTAAAAAACAAAAACAAGGGACGCCTGGGTGGCTCAGTTGGTTGGACGACTGCCTTCAGCTCAGGTCATGATCCCGGGGTGCCGGGATCGAGTCCCACATCGGGCTCCCAGCTCCATGGGGAGTCTGCTTCTCCCTCTGACCTTCTCCTCGCTCATGCTCTCTCTCACTGTCTTGCTCTCAAATAAATAAATAAAATCTTTAAAACAAACAAACAAACAAACAAACAAAAACAAAAACGCTTTGAGCATCTCTGTTCTTTCCCCAAAGTTCCTCCTGGGCCAGATGCCTCAGTGCCCCCCCCAACTCTCTTTCTCCCACTGCAGCCTCGAAAACCCCCTCTGTTACTCTGAATGATCCCATTCCGGCCCTTGGCTTTCAAGGCCTGTGCAGCCATTCAAAAGCTCGAGGCATTCTTCTGGGTCCAAACAAGTTAGTGGCCTTGTTAATGAACAAGGTCGATGTCACGATATGACAAGAATATGCATGTGACCAGGGAAACGGCCCACGTGTGCACGCACACACACAGGTTTTTAGGCACCAAAAGGCAGGATTTTGTTGCAAGCCTGATTGAGTTTCTTTGCTAGCCATTTCCCTCTGACTGAAATAAACACTGTGGATAACATATTGTCTTATTTGCTTCAACCCTTAAGTGCTGAGCAACAGACAAATTCCAAAGAAACCCAGATGTACTTCACATGGCCTGGGACGATGCACTAGGACGCTCCGACTTCCAGCAGACCACATGCTTCCTCACTGCCTTCCCGCTGGGGTCAGAGCCTGCTCTGTCCAAGTGACTCAGAAAGGGTCTCCCTCTGCATTGCTTCCACCCAGCAATCACAGGGTTCGGGGGGTGGGGGGGAGGCGGGGGTGGAACTCCCAATGAATTAAAAAAATCCAAAATAGAAGGGAAGGGTGCGGCTCCCTGATGTCAGGAACCAGTTCCTAAGTTTCCCTTCTAAGTTTTGACTTCTGGATTTGGCCTCCTTAGCAGGAGCCCCCACCCAAGAGTAGTAGAAAAGACCCAGACCAAAGCTACATAAAAAGACGTAGACAGCCACACTGGCTAAAGAGGCCACAACGTCACCAGGTGAATGATGGGCAAAAAAAAATGTATTTTGTTCTGACCTTGCGAGGTCTCCTTGGCTGTAGTCACACAAGCATGGCCAACTCTGGAAAACTATAGACCAACTATTTCGAAAGCTAACCAGATGTTGGGCCGATTTCCAATGTACTTCTAGTTCTGATTACGTGTCAGTCGAGATCCAAAATGGTGGTTTGCCAGCTCTCTGCATGGCGAAAGCCTCCTTTTATCCTATTACCTTCCAACCCTTCCCATACCTCTCATCTGTAACTTCCAGTTACTTCTCAGCAAAACAAAACAAAACCCAAAAGGCCCGAGATTCCTCTTGGGTAAACAATGATAAATGGATGGGGCAAGAGGGTGATGGGTGGAGTGGGGGAACTTTTAAGAACACGAAAGCTGTGGAACTCACCCCCCTCCCTTGAGCCAGGCCTCTGCAGACTTGACAAAGGAGAGAAGGCTGCATTTGCTATTACAGATATGAACCAGAATGCATTATGTGGCCCAATTGAATCACAACGAGTGCCTTCCTCCAACTGGTCAACCCTTTCCACAGTGGGATATTCATTTCGGTGCAGCATCTCATCTATTATGATTTACTGGAAGGCCCGAGTTAACATTTGGTTTTTATTAACATGGCTTTTATGTTAAAATTGTCTTATGATGAAAAATCTATCGGAAAGAGACCATTTCATTAGGGGCCCTGCTTGCAGGGTACAGATCTGGGGAAGAGAGGCTGAAGGTTAAGGGCAGCTAACTGCCTGCTGCCTGACCAAAACACCAACCGACCAACCACCATGAACAAGAAAAGACCCCCACCATATACAGACGTGTGCCCACAGGCGACGACTGGAGCACAAACCAGACAGTGGCTCCGTGCCAGGCAGTGTCCTTTGGGGGCCCCCCGGGCACCAGGGTTCCAGACGGCAAACCTGAAGTCTCCAGCTTCCTCTCTAAACCTGCTCCATGGCCCATGCTCGCTGGTTCTGGAAATGGCACCGCCAGCCACACAGTGGCTGGGTCAGGGACGTGGGCATCACCCCGACACCTCCCTGGGTGCCCTTTCCCATCCGAACCAAGCAGGGCTCCCCTCCCCCAGCCTATTCCTCTCCTTGTCTCCCCATCTTCGAAAATGGCCCCCCCACAGCTGCCCAGGGGTCCCCTTCACTCTATTGCCACATCCAATCCATCAGCTTATCTTGACTCCAGGGCCAAAACAAATCATAAATGCTTCCAGTTTCCACCGGCTCTATGGCCAACATACTGATTCAACCCACATTATCCCTTGCCTGGACTACTGCAACGGCTTCCTCCTGGGCCTCCCACTTTCCCATTTGCAACTCTCTCCCTCACCCCCTTCATCAACCTCCATCCAGCAGCCTGACTGCTTCTTCAAAAATATCCCTGTGACCACAT